TCTCATATTTTTACTTTTCCAGAACAATGGTTCCAAGCAAACCTACTCTCAGCAAATTATTCATCTGAATATGATGTTAAAAGTTAGTATTCTTTGGGTTGACCCCTAAGAATACTAACTTGGAACCTCATGACCTGAATCCCATACATATATATATATATATATATATATATATATATATATATATATATATATATATATATATATATATATATATATATATATATATATATATATATATATAAATGGTCAAAACAAATCAACCCTGAAAAAAAATATATATATAATACATACACAGAATAAAATCAATATCTGTATCTCTTAGAAAAGACCAATAATGTAACTGTAGACTTAGATTTATTACCACATAAGTATAAGTCTTCTTACAAGAGCTTACCTCACGTCATCCTATACATCAATCACCAACCAATACTTTAAAGTACAATGTTAAAAGTAGAAATTTATACTTCCAAATAGTTCAAAATGATAAAGAATATAGATATCACAAGAAGCTAAACTGAATGGAATTTAAAGAAACCAACAAAGGAGAAATACCTGGATCTGGTTAAGCATTCCAATAATCAGTAAATTTCACAATCATGCGCTTTCTAAATTAATTTCTCAATATAATTTCTACATTATGATATACCATTTATCTATAAATTCTACTTAAATCTTTGTACTTTTCTAAATAACATCCATGCTCAAACTTCTACATTATTCTCCTACATCATGCAGCAACCCAAGTTAACCAATACTACATCCAGAACTACAAATTGCAGAAAAAGAAAGCAATGCCAAGGCACACACACAGTTCCTTATTTGAGTTTTGTTATATTATATAATTGCATCTTGACTGATCAAGTGTAGTTGGTGCTTAATATTTCAGATCACCCACAACAGTATATCACAAATAATAATAATAATAATAATAATAATAATAATAATAATAATAATAATAACAATAATGATGACAACAATAATAAAAAAAAAAATAATAATAATAATAATAATATTAATAATGATAACAATAATAATAATAACAATAATAATAATAAAAGAAAGTATTAGTGGAACTCACTTTTAAAATCCAACATCAAACTGGAAAAATTGTTCCCACTTAAAACGTGACCACACAGTATGCACACAGAACTATGTGCTTCTGATTTTTACGTCTGTTTTTAAGTTGATAATAAAGCTTCCCATGAGGTTATTGACAACCTAACTAATAAAAAGTAATAAGGAACTTATGCACATTCTACATACCTGTGGTGCAGCTGTTAGAAATGATGACCAAAATCTAAAGACACTATTTCATGCAAATCTCACACAAAAAGGACAAAATAACTATTAAACAGTTGTATCTATCTTCCAATTAAAGCTAAGAAGAACTACCGAAAAAATAAAACCAAAAAGAGATTCAAAGGAACCTCAATTTATGAAAATGCAGTCACACAAGATGTAAAATGCACATTAGTCAGTCTAACATTTAACAAAATAAAAGAAGTGATTAAATGGACCATGAACTGATCAAAATGCAGTCGTACATGACAAAGAACCTCTTAATTATAGTTGGGTTGCATGATCAATAAAGTCTAATGAAAGAGGAAAGTCTTAATGAGGAATACAACATTCAGGGTAAAGAAAATGCTTTTGTAAACAGTATGACATCACAAAACACATGGATCTTTTTCACACACAAAACAAGCAACATAGATATCCATTCACCTAGAATTTACTCACTTAGTTCCCTATTGTTTTTTCATTTTATTTATTTATTTATTCATTTATTTATCTATTATTATTATTTTTAAGCAAATGTCGTAACCCCTCTTTGTAACCATTAGTGTACATTTTTCTTTGAAAAAAAGAGAGAGAGAGAGCTTCTCTTCCCTTGCACCTTGAGCACTTTTGAATTACATTTTTCTTACAGGTCTTATTAGCTTGGAACTCCTTCTGAGATAGTGTATGAATGGGGTCCACACTTGGCATGTGTCATGTGTGTGTGTGCATGTGTGCGTGTGTTTGTGATGGGCACGTTGTGTGTGTGCTTGGCATTGCTTTCTTTTTCTGCAATTTGTAGTTCTGGATGGTAGTATTGGTTAACTTGGGTGCTGCATGATGTAGGAGATAATGTAGAAGTTGAGCATGGATGTTTTTAGAAAAGTACAAAGATTTAAGTAGAATTTATACTTCCAAATAGTTCAAAATGATAAAGAATATAGATATAACAAGAAGCTAAACTGAATGGAATTTAAAGAAACCAACAAAGGAGAAATACCTGGATCTGGTTAAGCATTCCAAAATCAGTAAATTTCACAATCATGCGCTTTCTAAATTAATTTCTCAATATAATTTCTACATTATGAATATACCATTTATCTATAAATTCTACTTAAATCTTTGTACTTTTCTAAATAACATCCATGCTCAAACTTCTACATTATTCTCCTACATCATGCAGCAACCCAAGTTAACCAATACTACATCCAGAACTACA